GTGATAAGCTGTATGTTTTATATTTAATTAACGTATGATCTGATTAGTCGACTAATCGAATAAATAATTGATGATTAATCGATTATAAAAATAATCATTTGTGGCAGCCCTAGTGTGAACACACACTCTACACCCTGCACACACACTTGTTCTTCTATCCTCATGGGGACTTTCCAACTGTCCCCTCTGTGAAGCAAAAACATGCGCACACACACGCGCTCTGGCACACAGTGAATCAAACAAGTTTTTTTTAAACCAGAGTCAGAAAACCTTTTTTCCTTATTAACTGTGGAAATGATACGAGGATGGTTGCTTGCTCTTAAGTCTCAGTAGTAAAGTCCATCTTAGAGTCTGGTTCTTCTCTGAGGCAGATCATTCCAGCAGGAATGTATGGCAGGCTGCTTTTACATATAATCGGCTTCACCACAGTTACCGTATTTATTCATGTATAATACGATCATCATTTTTTGATCTTAAAAAGCATAAAAATCTAATTATCGGTACCAATAACCCGTGTATAATACAACCCCCCCCCCCCACTTTATGGATGATTTTTAAGTTAAAATTTCTGATATTATTCATGAATAAATACAGTACGTTCCAGGTTCTCAAAATGGTTTTATGAATACAGCTTAGTTTTTTTAGTGAGAGATACATAAAATTCAATTAATACAAATTAAATTTAAGACTTTTTCATGTTATGTTATTTTCATTATTTTAAAAAGCTTTTTCTCATTTATTAAATATTAATAATATTTCTGCTGTTAATCATAATTCTCTGTTCATCATTCTGGTTTAGCCAAGACCAAAGATCCTGAAGGCCAAACTACAGGAGTCGTCTATCTGAAGACAGGTGTAGTCTAAGACAAAACCATGTTTATAAAATGTTCGACCCTTAAACATTTGCACTTAAAACTTATTTTTCTTTCATTTCATTTATCTGGAGATGTTTAAGATAAAACTTCAGGTCATAGAATCACTTTAAAATTACAGTAAGTTATACGTCTACAATTCTGGTTCAAATATAGAACTTTATTTTTGCTGGATTGTTACAAAATTATTTGTGAGTTAATATTGCCTTAAGGGACAATGATTTTTAAAAAGCGAATCATTAAAACATCAATGTTAAATGTGATGCGTTTGCAAATTTGGGTGCACCTAAGGAAAAATGTTAGGCGTACCGGTGCAAAATGTTAGTTTAGAGCCCTGCATAACATGACAATATGGCAGCTAGCAAAGAGGATCTACTTCTCAAAAAAGGCACTGTTTCTTCACTTTTCTGGAACTGGTCAGGTTTTGCAACCTCGGACTTGGAGCAACAAATACTTCACTGCAAAATCTGTTTGAAGGCTCTTGCTACAAAAAGCAACACCTGAAACTGAGGCCCTCCGTTAAGTGGGAAACAAAATCGATAAAAAGTGAAAACCGAATTTGGGATGTAAAAAAAAGGTGGTTTTTTTTGGGGCATATCACCCAGCCCTAATGGGGACTAAAGGGCTCGACACACGGGAGGCGACGTCGCTCGCTCTCCATTCATTTCCTATGGAGCCTGTGCGGTGAGGCGACAATRWCTTGCCCTCCTCCAGCTAAGTGACCGGTGAAAATAGTGCATGTGAAATTTCGCGCTCGTACACGTANATAGTTTAGTTATGATGTAAACACAATAAAAATTAAACCAAGATTTATAATAATTATCATTTGATCCATACATTGGTAATGTCTGACTGGGCCTCGTGTCACTTTATGCTCAACAAATTGGGCCCCGAGGTCAAAAAGGTTAAGAACCCCTGATTTAGACCAAACTGCACTTCCCTCTGTTTGCACAGAGTTTGTTCTTGTTACAAAGAAATGGTTGTATTTGTTAAATGTTCTTGAATCATGAACCGTCTCGTGGGGATGCAGAGAGCATTTCCTTCCACACACTCCTCCCAGCTGTGTGTATATTTGTGTTCTTAGGGAGGGCCTCTTCCTCAATGCTGCATGGGCTTTTATGTTGTCTGAGCCCCAAGGTATCCTCTTCTGGCTATACAATAAGCTGATAACATACACTGCAGTGTAACTGATGTCTGAACAGTTGTATTTCTGTAGATAATGTCTCTGACAAAGAGTTGCTCTGTTTTCATACTGCAGGAGTGCTCCCATTTAGACCATTATGTAACCAAATTGTTTTGATATTTGTTAGACAGAAAACAGATTCTGATTCATACATTTTGTTCCAAAGCAGGTGCATCAATATTTGTGTTTAGATCATTTGAGAAGATAAATAAAACTGATGGTACTTGATATAAAAAATGTACAGTACATTGACCGTTTTATTTAATTGTAGTTTTTACTTCTATTTAGACATCTTCAAAAAGGGTACTTTTAAATTTTCATTTCTTTCTAAAATACTACTTTTTCTAACGTTTCCATATTTGTTGATAGTTGACAACTCTTCTGCAACTGCAGAAGACATTAAGATAAGATAAGATAAGATAAGATAAGATAAGATAAAACTTTATTGATCCCACAGTGGGGAAATTTGCACATTACAGCAGCTCAAAACTGGACAGGGTGAGATAGAATAAAGAAAGAAAAGTAAAAGAAAAACAGAAAAACAGTCCACCCAGCAATTGAACAGCTTTAGCAGATGGATATTTAGGCAATTTATCAGTCTTTCATGTAGTTTTAGGGAAATGTATTCAGTTATCCTACTGTCCTCTCACGTTTCAGTTAGGTGGAGATCCTGGACTTTGACTGCATGTTGTCTCTACTTTGGCTTCATCCTAGTTTTGTATGAGAGTTCTTGTGGTTTGTTCAGATGAAGTCATGCTCCCATGTTGTTTTTAGAAAGAAGACGCTTTTTTTCTGCAACCCTTCCAGACCAGATTTTACTGCTGATGTAGCTGTTTGGTTTAGCTTTTTAATGTTCTTCACTTGTTCATTCCCACATAATTGCTTTTCTCTTTTTCTGCAGTTTGACGACATCCTTAACCCGCCTCCTGCATCCCTCAGGAAGTTCAGTAACCCAGAGCTGACTCATGGATTAAGTCTTGCTCTCAAGCTAAAACTGCATCTCACTGAGGGTGATAAACACCATCGTCGGAGGAGTCTAGGTGGTGGTCTCACAGGTAGCTTTTTTCATTAAGTTGTATATTTATGTATATATTTACTTTTTAAAATTTAAACCCATTGTAAAAGTGTCATTCAAAAAATGTAATTCTGAATAATGTAGCAGGAACCCACTTGGATTTCTTCTCAAAACTTTATTCTTGTTTCTGACGCCAATCGGTTTCACAGCTACACAGTAGACAGACAGAGAAAAAAGGCCTTCATCGTCTCTGAAACCTAAAAACCAGCAGATTGTCCCAGACTGCTCCAAGCAGAGACTCTTAACAACTTCTACCCATATCATAATGATTCAACCTTCTAACCTCTTCAGGCTCTCCTGGTTCCACCCCTGAAGGTGGTAACTTTAACGTCGGACGTCAGAACGTAACACATGATGACACATCAACTCTCATTCTCTGCTTTTAAACTTATGACTGCAATGATCAGAAAGTATAAAAATACAAAACTGGATCTAACAATCAATCATTTACAAAATTTCCTTCACTAGAGTTCAAGGAAGTTACAGATTCACACATTTGTATTTGTTTGCTGAGAGGTTTAAAGGTTTGATGCCCCGAGAGGCTGTTTTATGGGCTTTTATTTAGTTCATGTTTAAAGGTATCATATAATAAGAAAACATTTTATAAACATGGAAGTGATCAGATCTGATATTGTTTTTTTTTAAACACTGGTTTAACTTCATTTTCCTTCTGCAGCTGTAAAAAATATATTGCAGTGGTGGAACTCAAAGGCTGAGGAAAAAAAATCAATATTTATACTAAATAAATTATCTACAGATCAGGTATCATGTCCCATTTAAAAAAAAAAGTTTGTTTTGTTGAAAACATATGCCACTTATTCACTTTTAAGGGGCATTTTATACAAATCCAAAACCTAATTACTTTAAATTATATTCAGGTAGAAAGGTGTTTTGACTTTTAAGGCTTTTAAACATAGACAGCAATGGCTAATTATTTGGTATTTCTGGAAGGCTCATGATTAACAGATCCTGCTGTGAATATGTTTCAAGACATGTTTTAAAGTTAAACTTTATTTTCTACAAACTATCAGTAAAATAAAGAAAAGTTTACCAGCGAGTGTCTTGAAATGCTTTGGTTCATTTTAACACAATCTATTTATTTGTACAATTTGTACAGAATTTCATTGGTACCACTTTACAATAAGGCGTCCTTTTATAGATGGCTTATAAATACTTTATAGATAAGTTATTAATTCATCTGTAAACACTTTATAAATCATTTATAAGTGTTTATATGCATTAATTAGGGATGAGAAAGAGATAAAACTGTCTGGTTTCCTGCCAAATAGTGTGCCAAATCTGTTCATGTACATATTACATTTAAGGTGCTATATTAAAAATTTCAGACCAGGTTTCTACCTTGTTTGAAGCATACTCTCCTCTCATTGGTCAGTCAATGAAACCCTCGCTGATTGGTTGTACGCTAAGCGACAGCGACAAAAGTTGAACATTTTTCAACTTTAATATGTCGCGTCGCAAGCTCGCGTGTGCACGTSTACGTGTACGAGCGTGAAATTTCACATGCACTATTTTCGCCGGTCGCTTAGCTGGAGGAGGGCAAGCGATTGTCGCCTCACCGCACAGGCTCCATAGGAAATGAATGGAGAGCGAGCGACGTCGCCTCCCGTGTGTCGGGTTTCACCCTGGCTGCGATGGCAGCCGTTAATCGCTGTAGTTTGTCGCCCCCTGTGTGTCGAGCCCTTAAGTAGGCCTGGCCATTCTCTCTATGGGTAACTCCAGGGAGGAATAAGATCCAGCCCTTTAAAGGAGAACCCATGCCATGTGTTGAGGTGAGCCCGACTATCAGTACCTCTCTAATTCACACACAAGCCCAGAGTCAGAACAAGGTCCTCCACTTTCAAATACCACCCACAGAGCTTTGCACCCGGTCCATATGGACCCTCCTGGAGGTGGTGGGCCCACAGGAAGGCAAACCCATGTAGGTCATTTAAGATGAGCCAAATGGAGTGCCAACACCAGGTGTTCACTGACAAGCCCCTCCCCCAGGCTTAGCTGCAGGGTGGGACTGGGACCCTCCACTTCAGGGTGAGGGACATTGAGCTTCTTGTTGTCCTCTGTCCAGTTAAGAATTAAAAATAGTTGATGTTGTTGTTTTTCCTGGACTCCCAGGAACAATTGTCCCAAACAGCATAAGCACAAAACCCATCAAAAGGTGGAGACACGTTTTATAAAACTATGCGTTAAAGATAAAAAAATAAAAGAAAGGGAGGCCTATGTGTATTTAATGCCGTTCATATATTCAACTTTTAAACCGGTTTAACACCTAAACATGATCTCATCAGAAAGTATGGACCTTTGAACTCAAAAACAGAAGGGACAAAGTATGTAATTTATTTTAATACGATCACAAAGTTGAGATTTCTTACTGTGTTTCTTTTCATACAAAATTATTTTCCTTGAGTTTCAGTTTCCTTTCTGCAGAACAAGTCCATGTAACTTTATGACTTAAGATTACAAGTTACTTCTGACACACTGGGACCAGTAAGGTGACTTTTCATTAGGTAACTTACCAGCACATCGCGGATAATGTTAAGTTATTGTTTTGTTTACGTGTTTAATCTTACTCAGACTATGTTCCAACAATAACCAGTTATTACTTACTGTGGATTTCGCGTCAATAGCGGAGAAAATCCGCAGTATTCAGATAGCTGGGGTTAGCTTCTGTAGCTAGCGCTACCGTCACAGTGGGTGTCGTCCTCCTGTTTTATTCTATTTATAAAGAAACTCTAACAAATTGCTTTCTTAAATAAGTGTTTTATAAATCAAGAAACAGACTTTAACTAGCTTTTACTTGTAGTTTGTTAAGAAACGCTGTCAGCTACGACACGAGTATCAGAACTAAGATGGTGCTACTGGGTAGACTGGTGCTGAGGAAGAAAATGGAGAATGTCCTCTGATGCGTTCACGTAACCTCGGAAATGAAACTTATTAAAACGAGAACTTTTTTTATTAAACAACAAAGAACACACAAAATAATACAATGTACAAACAATAAAGGCGTATTAAAAAAACAAACTTGCATATAAGAGAAAAGCATGGGTGCAAATAAAGATAAGAAGTGAAAATATAAGAAGGAACACAAAAAAAAGGCTACGGTGTAGATATTAAATCATACTCTTCAATTAAAGAGCACAGATTGTGGGCATGTTTAGTGTGCATCACTTTAAGAGAARTGCAGTACAAAATAAYGTCATTGTGAAAATGATAGAAATMTGGTTTAACCTTAAGATATTTAGCTTTATGGATGAAAAATTTCCCCAGAATGATAATAGTGTTGATGAGAAAGTCACTGTTGTTATTGTCCATAATAAGTCCATAAATTATATTGTTTTCAGAGAACATTTGGAGACTGGGGATTAAAACGAGAACTTGAAACTTTGCTTAAAACTTTCGTAACCCAATTCGTTTGATCAGACAAAGACAAAAAATGTACGGTCTGACGTATTCTGCCTTTTTAAATAATGTTAAATGAGAAGGTTGACGTTAACAAACCAAATCCGTATTACTGTTTTTAAAACTCGGCTTTTGTGTTTGATTTCTTGTTTTTCCCCTGATTGAAAGTCAGATATCGTAATTTTCTGATGTCCGCGAACGTAGCGCAGCGATTTACGTCAAGACGTTGACAATACGCAACTTCCTGTTCAGGTTTTGTTGATTTTTTTTTAATGAACATGGCTGCTGTGGCTGTGATAGAAACTTCTCCAGACAAAGACGCTGTTGCTGAGGGGCTGCTCGACCTCCTCAAACCTGCAATCCAGCAGCTGGATCTGCATGTCCACTCGGTCAGGTAAACAACGCTTTTCTTTACGTCCTGAACTGTCGCACGACTGTCACGTGATAGGTTTTTTGGGGAGTGTTGTTTTTAAATGCACCTGCTCATCTGCTGATTCACAATCAGCCAGTTTTGTCTGTTTATCTTGAGCATTGTTGTTTGTGTTTGTTCTTTGCAGAGAAAGCCAGGTGGAGTTAAGAGAACATATAGACAATTTAGCCACGGGTAAATAATGGTTGTCTGACAGTTTAATTTATGTTGTTTATTTATACCAACACATGAAACTCTAAAATAAACCTGCAATCAATAAAGTGGTTCTAACTTGGTCATGTTTGATGTTCTGTCCTCAGAGTTATGCAGGATAAATGAGCACCAGAAGGTGGCGCTAGACCTGGATCCTTATGTGAAGAAGCTGCTGAATGCCAGGCGTAGAGTGGTGCTGGTCAACAACATCCTGCAGAATGCTCAGGTCAGTGAACCAGGCTCTGGGTTGACTCATTAGTTCTTTTTATAGTTAAAATATTCTGCTTTCATGTAAATTCACCTCAGCTGATCCCGCACACTTTTAATATTGGCCTCCTAATTAATACTCAGTAATTATTTCCTGAAAGTACACTTGAAATCTGTCCATTGAGGAAACATTTTACTAACTCACAAAGCAAATAATGGGAAATTTTAAACCATAGAACTTGAACTATGAATGTTGGGGAGCAGTCTGAGCTACTACCACACCAAATCTTAGCTCAATATTTGTCAAAATAACTGAGTTACAGCGGGTAAAATAAGTATTGAACACGTCACCATTTTTCTCAGTAAATATATTACTAGAGGTGCTAATGACATGAAATTTTCACCAGATGTCGGTAAC